TTTTCCCTGTCTCTATGCAAATTTATATCCACCGAAAAAGAAATGCAAAAAGATAAAATTGTTGTCTGAGGAGGCCTTACAAATAGCTGAGAAAAGAAGTGAAGCTAAAGACAAAGGAGGAAAGGAAAGATAGACCCATATGAATACAGAGACCCAAAGAACAGCAAGGAGAGATAAGAAAGCCTTCCTCAGTGATTAATGCAAAGACATAGAGGAAAACAATAAAGTGGGGAAGACTAAGATCTCTTCAAGAAAATTAGAAATACGAAGGGAATATTTCATGCGAAGATGGGTACAAAAAGGACAGAAATGGTATGGGCCTAACAGAAACAAAAGATATTAAGAAGAGGTGGCAACAATACACAGAAGAACTATACAAAAAAGATCTTCATGACCAATATAATCACAATGGTGTGATCACTCACCTATAGCCAGACCTGCTGGAATGTGAAGTCAAATGGGCCTTAGGAAGCATCACTACAAATGAAGCTAGTGGAAGTGATGGAATTCCAGTTGAATTATTTCAAATCCTAAATGATGATGCTGTGAAAGTGCTGCATTCAATATGTCAGCAAATTTGGAAAACTCAACAGTGGCCATAGGACAGGAAAAGGTCGGTTTTCATTCTAATCCCAAAGAAAGGCAATAGCAAAGAATGCTCAAACTACTGCACAATTGAACTCCTTTCACACGCTAGCAAAGTGATGCTCAAAATTCTCCAAGCCAGATTTCAACAGCATGTGAACTGTGAACTTCAAGATGTTCACACTGGATTTAGAAAAGGCAGAGGAACCAGAGATCAAATTGCCAATGATCCATTGGATCATGGAAAAAGCAAGAGAGTTCCAGGATAAAGCAAGAGAGTTTCAGTTCTTGTTTTATTCCTGGAACTTTGTTGACTTTGCTTTATTGACTATGTGCCTTCATTGACTAAGTGCTTTGTTGACTATGCCAAGGCCATTGACTCTGTGGACCACAACAAACTGTTGAAAATCCTTCAAGTGATGGGAATACCAGACCACCTGACCTGCCTTCTGAGAAATCTGTATGCAGCACAGGAAGAAACAGTTAAAACTGGATATGGAACCACAGGCTGGTTCCAAATCAGGAAAGGAATACGTCAAGGCTGTATATTGTTACCCTGCTTATTTAACTTATGTTCAGAGTACATCATGAGAAATGCTGGGCTGGAAGAAGTACAAGCTGGAATCAAGATTGCCAGAAGAAATATCAGTAACCTCAGATATGAAGATGACACCACCCTTATGGCTGAAAGCGAAGAAGAACAAAAGAGCCTCTTGATGAAAGTGAAAGAGGAGAGCAAAAAAGTTGGCTTCAACTCAACATTCAGAAAACGAAGATCATGGCATTTAGCCCCATCACTTCATGGCAAGTAGATGGGGAAACAATGGAAACAGTGACAGAATTTTTTTTGGGGGGGTTCCAAACTCACTGCAGATGGTGACTGCAGCCATGAAATTAAAAGACGCTTGCTCCTTGGAAGAAATGTTATGACCAACCTCGACAACATATTAAAGCAGAGACATTACTTTGCCAGCAAAGGTCCATCTAGTCAAAGCTTTGTTTTTTCCCGTAGTCGTGTATGAGTGTGAGAGTTGGACTGTAAAGAAAGCTGAGTGACAAAGGATTGTTGCTTTTGAACTGTGGTGTTGGAGAAGACTCTTGAGAGTCCCTTGAACTGCAAGGACATCCAACCAGTCCATCCTACAGGAAATCAGTCCTGAATGTTCATTGGAACGACTGATACTGAAGGTGAAACTCCAATATTTTGGCCTCCTGATGCAAAGAACTGACTCATTTGAAAAGGCCCTGATGCTGAGAATGATTAAAGGTGGGAAGGGAAGGGGACAACAGAGGATGAGATGGTTGGATGTCATCACCGACTCAATGGACATGAGTTTGAGTAAGCTCTGGGGGTTGGTGATGGACGGGGAAGCCTGGTGTACTGCAGTCCATGAGGTCACAAAGAGTAGGACAGGACCAAGCAACTTAACTGAACTGATACAAATTTAAAAAGAGGTTTCTTTCAAAATTCTGTGTTGTCATGAGGATACCTGGTTCCACCTGAACTTAACTTTTCTCAAACCTTGAGTTAACCAATGTATTTTACTTATGGAAATGATTGTCTTAAGCTATGTTAATGAACTATGTATTTACCCTAGACTCTGTCTTCAAGTTGTTTCCTCTTAAGGCTCAGAATGGACTTGAGAAACAAGAATGTTTTACTCATGCAAATCTTCTCTTAAGCTATGTTAATGAGACTGTATTTGCTTAGAAACCTGCCTCTCTTCAAGATTCATGTTAATCATTTTATGGCCAGGGACAACTCACCTTCTACCAATGTTATCTCAAAATGCACATTGTTTGTGAGGGGCCTGGTGCCAGTCTCTGAGTTTTGAGACATTTCCTTTCTTAGTTAACAGACAGCTAGTAGCTGTATGGATCTTCCCTGTAGCTCAGAGGGTAAAGAATCTGCCTGCAATGCAGGAGACCTGGGTTAGATCCCTTGGTCGGAAAGATCCTCTGGAGAAGGGAATGGCAATCTGTTGCAGTATTCTTGCCTGGAGAATCCCATGGACAGAGGAGCCTGGCAGGCCACAGTCCATGTGGTCATAAAGGGTCGGACATGACTGAGCAACTAACACTACTACTACTAGTAGCCATATAACATCTGCCTAAAGACTAGTAGGGGGCACTCTTTCTGCCTCCTTCTGATGTCTATGTCAGAAGCTTTCTCTATCTCTTTTATACTTTAATAAACTTTATTACACAAAAGCTCTGAACGATCAGGCCTCATCATTGGCCCCAAATTGAATTCTTCTTCTCTGGAGGCCAAGAATCGTGGCATCTTTTGTGGTTCAGCAACAGCCTTTCAGAGGGGACGTGGTTCAGCTCCAAGAATAAATGCCTGTCATCCATTCTGTTCTGTGATGAAGCAGATCAGGTTGAGGTTTTTTGAAGTTTCTTTGTTCCCAGTGTGTAACAGAGGTGTCATTTTGTCTATTCATGAAATCACCTAGTACAGTCCAGCAGTTATAAAATTCTCATATCCTAGCTCTAGGAGCCTGGTCCAGTTGGACAGATGGAGGAGGCACTTAGCATCCATGTGGTCTTGTGTCCCCCAAGGTCTCTGAGCCTCAGGTCCTCACCTCTGTGTAGAGCAGGATTACTGCCCTGCTGGCTTCTTCACACCTATCACAGGGATTAAATGAGAGAGCAGATGCTTAAGTGCTTTGAGAATATAGAGCATTTAACGGTACAAAAGTGGTATCGTTTTGTAAACCTTGCCTCCCAATAATAAAACAAATATACCCATAGTTCTTCTAGGTCACTTTAGAGACTCTAAATCAGGGGTCCCCAACTGCTAAAGACCCTTTGTAATATTCAGTTCAGGTATTTCTGACCATGAAGCAAAGTCCTTTTCAGTGGAATTTGCTAGAAGTAATATTTTCTTTATAAAAATTGTATTGAGAAGGGTTATGGAGAAAGGAACCAGATGATTTTGGAAAGACTATTAAGCAGTAGAAAATGAAATGAATTTTCTTTTGTTCCTTTAACTGTTTTTAGTTTCACCAAAAAAGTACATAAGCATATAATCACCAAATATGTCTAGCTTAATAAAATGGAGGAAGGTGATGATATGCAATTAACCCATCCCCCCCACCAACTTCCACCAAAGGCTTTATTTTTAAGTGCTTCCATTACAATGGAAATAGCCTCAGCTTTCAGTCAGTGGGCCCAAGCGTTCTTGGAGGGTTTATTTTTCTCCTAAAGTGACATTTAAACATATAGCATTTCATGTGCAGAGCTGTTTTGGGGGTAGGTTATGTTAGCAACAAGAAAATAAGAAAGTGCACTTACTATGAAGGTAGGTGTCCTAGTGCTTTTCTGTTTCATGTGTGAAGTTCATTCTCTCTCATAATAACTTTCTTTACAGCACCCACAAATGCACTTGCAGTCAGGTTTTATAAAAGAGATCTGGAATCATATGTCTAAGCAACCCAGTTTATGACATGAGTCAGCCTCTGATAGATGATACATTTTCTGTTTTAAAGACTCAAATGAAACTTTTCACATTCTTCTTTGAGGATAAAGAGTTACACTTGAAGTCTTTTTTTGCCCAAACACATTCACAGATAAGGCTTCACAAGCCCTGACATTATTTTATTTTGTTATGTGCATCTGTAAGGAACTGAGATATAATACAGCTACTAAAAACTGATGATTGTGGAACTTGCCAGCACTTCATTACCTTTGTGTTCTGATTATACACTGAGAAAACCTGTATCTCTTCGAGTTCAGCTAGAATTTGGTAGAATTCAAGAGCTCAAAGGTCTGGCAGAGATCTGTCCTATTATTGGATATCATCTTATGTTTTAGAGAAGTCTCTTGGTTGAGTCATTGTTAAAGCATTTGATTCTCTTTTCATTCTTGGGGACCCACTATCCACAGGTCACATTTCTACAGGCCCTATGACTACTTTGCTGCACAAATTAAACACCAGGATATTTCATACGTATATGCCAGTGTTTCAGTGCTTATCAAACAGAGTTTATAAAATATAAAGATAATAACCCAATACTAACATCCATATCTGCTGTGCTCCTTTTATGTGTGAAAATGACAAACCCTGTTCATATGCTAGTTTTCCTATCCTCTTTGTTATCCTGTTTTTAATGTATTTCAGGGAATAAAATGATTTTGCTTATCAATTTATTGTAGTGATAAAGCATATCTATGCGTCAGAATGATCAGCAATCTAGTAGATCTACAGGTTATTTGGCATTAAACCCAGCCCCACTGAGGGTTTTAATGGGACTACTTTCTCCATAGAATAAATACAGCCCTGGTTTTTTAAAACTGTGCCTCCAATAGTGATATGATTACTTCACATGAAGAAGGAAACCTAGAAATGTGTTGCCTTAGGAGGAGGACTTTAAAACTTTTAAACATGTTGTTTTTGTCTTTTTCTCCCTCAGGTGTACTTCAAAACGATACAGCCAGATATTACTCACAGTGACCGTGTGGTTATGAACATTTCCAGTGGACAGCCCTCAGCCTTCACAGTTTTTGAGTCAAAACTGTGATTCTACCATAAGTTCAGGTCAATTCCAAAGGCTTTTTTTTTACAGTAGGTTTTGCACTGCATAAACTATATTCTACTTTTTTTACATCAGCAACAAATATTTACACATTACAAGAGGTTAGTTCTCTAACTTCACTTAATGATTTAAAGCTCTTAAAAAAGGATGTATTATGTTTATTTAAATGTTATATTACTCACTTTCTTATCCAAATCATGGGTGCAGGCCACCAATAAAAGCTGTCTCCCAGGTTTTGTGTCTTGAGAGACTCCAGAGCCAAACTCATTTTCTAAGATTTGAGACAAAGTTGTCACAGATATTTTTTTACTGTTCCCAGAATTACGTATTACTTTCCAATTATATCAGGGATTCTATTTACTTGAAGACTGTGTGAGGTTGTTGTTTTGAGTCACCACTTCCTTTAACATGACTAGGATCCATTTTTCCACCAAAAGACCTGTGGTTAAGATACTACAGAGAAAACTGATAAGAAAATATACAATATACTATAGTTTAAGTAACAACAACAAAAATGCATATTATGGTTAAATATACAGAAGGACAATATTATATATTCTCAAAGAGAAGGAAGAGAAACATGCTTTCTCAAAATAGGAGCCCTTCTAGGGGATTTGCAAATGAAAGACAAATGTGTGCTAGACTATCTTCTAGATAGAGGATTTTATTTTTTTTACATTACAAATTGTGGTAAAATATTTATAACATAAAATTTTCCATACAGCTGTTCTTCGTCACACAATCCAGTGGCATTAATCATGTTCACAGTGTTGTGCAGCCACATTGTCTGGATAACTTTTGGTAATGATTTGCTTCCTCTTCAGTGTGTTATTTCTGCAGAGTCATTTTGATAAGTTTCATTTTTCTAGGAGGAATGTTTCTTGTGAGTTTTGAGCTTGATTGACATAAATTTATTCACAATATCTTTTATGCTTAATCTCTGCAGCATGTCTAACTGTGTTCTTTTGTCTTTTTAATTTTCTTTTAGCCTTCTTTTTTATGAATAATCTTGCATAACTTTTTCCTGTTTTCAAAGAATACACTTTTTGCTTGATTGATGCTCTCTTTTTTTCCTCTAGTTCATCATATCATACTTTCTTTCCTTCAACTTTTCTTTAACCTTGAGGTTTTTCCTCTAAATTCTTAAACTGAAAAGAGATTAGTAATGTCATCATTTTTCTAACATAAATATATAAAGCTGACTTTTTTCCTAAGATCCACTTTTGCTGCAACCTGCAACTTTTGGTACTCACTACTGTCAGTAGCCATAGTATTATGTATTTTCTAATTCCTAATTTAATTCATTAACTATGTCTTTTACCCATGGGTTATTCATAAATATAATGTTCTCTAAATTTCAAATGCTAATGGATTTTTTTCTGTTAGATTGAACCATGTGGAACTGCTAACATTCAGTCTTTTTATAAGCTATAAAATGGCACTTTCATATGGTTCAATATATAGTTGTATTTTGTTATTAATGTATAACTTAATTTCATTTGGTCAGACAACATTAGATTGTGAATTTTAAACCAAAGGTAACCACATTCACACTAAAGGTCCTTGTTTCTACCATTTTGTATTTTATTGGGAGTTTTAAAAATGTTAACATTTAATGTTAAAATGTTAACTGGTACATGTGTAACCAGTAATTTTAAATAAAAATCCTCCCCAAATACTGGAATGTTTTCTGATATGTGTTGCATCTGGTTCTCTGGGATGCAGACTCAGATGGAGTTTAGTGCTGGGATGTGTATCAGGGTTGCCCTTGGGGTCAACATTGTGGAATCAGGAGGGAAGAAACAGAGTAAGGCAGAGGGAAGGATCAAGCTGGATCACTGGCCAGACGGCCTGAGCTGACCCCATGGGAGTTTGGAGTGACGATGGCCCTTCAGGGTTGTCCTGACACATCCAATGACCAGGACTTTATACCTCTACCTGCATGGGTCATTGCACATAGGCTGACCCCAGAGGGGCTGGTGGTTTAAGGTTTCCCACTGGCAGCACTTACAGCTGCTGGACAACGAGTCCCTGAAGGGAGGTCAGGACAGGACGTCTCCATGTCCCCCCTGGGCGTGTATCACAGCTCCAGAGGTAGGTGATGAGGGTGTACTGTGGGGGACACTCTTGATGACTGATGTTTAAGCCAAAATGATGACTCAGTGATTCTCCTCAATATCCTCTGTTCTAAAAATAGTGGAGAAGGTCCATGTAGGGGAGATATCGTCACTCTTCAGGGTCAGCCCAGCTGTCGTCTCTTCTAAGAAGTCACGTTAAGATCAGTCATCATCCTAGGTAACTCGGATTTGTGTATTACCCTAAGCACCTCTTGTGCTAAACTGAAACATACTTGGTTAGTGTCCGTTGTCACCATTTTGAGATACTTTATTTTTAAACAAGGGGCCTGTTCTTTCTGTTGTGCATGTATCCTGCCCTGACTGTGAGTGTTCACACGTGGTCTTTTTCTCACAAGACTGAGAAAAAGACTTGAAACTGTGCCCTGTTCACTGTTTAATTATGTCTTCCAGCAGAGTATCTGTACACAGAAGGTGCTCAGTAAATGTCTGTGGAATGAACAAATGATGACTGAGAGCAAACCTTCCTTCTCAACTTTGTAACTTTGAGATTTTAAGAGGTAGCCTGGGATAACAGAAAGTCCTGGCTTTGGAGTCAGTCACACTGATCTGTCCTTTCTCTACTACTCACTAGCAGCGTGGGTGTGGGAAAGCAGTAACCAGTCAAAGTGCCAGGACATTAGAATGGCACCATCCTTGACAAAATAGACTCTGGACACCCTACGGCCACGTATTCTTAGTTACATGCTTGGGTAAGCATCTCAACCCCTGAATCTCAGCTTCTTTGTCTGGAAAATGAGTATAGTTCCTGCTCTTGAACCATTGCTTTGTTTGGGATGATGGATGGCCTACGAGCGTCCAAAGACACAGGGTGGAATCACTGACCTTGGTGATTCTTATCGCTAGGAGAGGAGAACAGGATAGGTGTGGATGAAGGAGGTTTGTAGGCTGTAGAAGGTGTATTTGAGGAGGTCCTCATCTGATGGCCTAAACCAAACTGTTCCTCCACATGTAGTTAAAATGACACAAGCACATGGGAAGGAGCCAAGCTCTGGAGTCAGGGACAAACACTGGCTCCTCTGGGCACTGACTGGGTTTGGATACAAGTTCTGCTACCTGGTAAGTGTAGGCTCTTAAGGTTGGGAAGCCCACTGTGCTTCAGTGTCTTTGTCTGAAAGTTGAGGTGGGGATAGTGTGATTCTCAGAGGGCTGCTGCCAAGATTAACTATGACAGTGACACAGTCTGGTCTGTGCACTAGTGTCAGTCCATGGCCTGTTTGTAACCCGGTTAGAAATAAGTACAGGAAATTCAAGAAAGCTAGAAACTCAGAACTATCTGTATTGCTGTAACATCCACCCGCAGGATGGGTGGGGTCCTGAACACCCGGGGGACCAGTGTGAGTGTTGCACTTGTGTGGTGGGGGAGGGTCCTGTGGCTGAGCTGCACACTAGCTGTGCACAGTGGATCATTGATTAGGTTGCAATGGGCTGAAAATGGAAAATTAAATAAAACTGATATTTAATCCCAGACAGGTGAGAAACACTGCTTTTGAACAATGATTAATATGTGATTATCTGTCAATCGGTACTATCCTCTCCAGCCCTATCCTCTTTATTAATTGTTACCATCATATTTATCTTAAAATTAGAGCACACAGGCTTTCAAAAGGCCCTACTATACATTATCAATGTTTTTAATAGCATTAAAAAGTTAGAAATAATTAAATTCCTGTTCAAAGGTGTTTTTTTTTAAGTCTAGAAACGATACTGTGCATATATATTATCAATTCTATTCTTGAATCAGCAGCATGGTCCTAATGCTGGAAATCCTGGAAACACAACAGGCCACTTTAAAACCTTCAGAATTTTTTTAAACACAAGGTATTAAGTGTAAGCTGTTAATTTTCCTTTAAAAACTGAGCTTTTGTTTTTTAAACCTAATGTTCTAAGAAAAGCGTTTCTTTTTTCCAAAAACTGAAACAGCAATGTGTGTTGAAAACTGTGTGAAGTATATATTGATTTGAATTTAGACCTAAAAAATAACATTATTAGAAGGAATCGCATGCCCCAGCCCTGTGAGACCTCAATGTGTACTCCAGGCCCATCTGACTTGCCTTAGGAGTCAAACTGCGATTGTGTGATTTTTTAATAAGAACCAAGGTTAAGACTTAGATACACTAGGAATGTTCTCCAAGAAGTTTACATTGGATAGTCCTGACTAAATTCTCTCTTTCACTCAGCAAACATGCTCACAAGTATCCATCCCAATAGGTGGAAGCTTTGGGTATTCCAAACCAATGTTTGATCCAAAAGCTTATCATATTTAATTCTGGAGGACGTTACAGGAAAAACATTTTTAAAATTAAAATTTTCAGAATATATAGACAAAAAATGAGTCTCTGAGATGGAGTTTTTATCACATTGAAATGTCATAAGTAAATAACGATAAACAGAGGACTGAGGGCTTTTAAACCCTACATTTTACAACATTAAAATTTTTTTTAAAAAATCCATGAGTTTATACTGATTCCTATAAGATATAGAATAGATAGTGGGAAGAGAAAGCCCTTTTTCTGCAGTAGAAGGTCAACTCACAAATGTAGACAGATTCACAGAAAAGTACCATATAGCAGCCATTCTTGTCATAAATAATTCAGAAAAATTCATCATTGTCTGAATATATAGTGAATGTTCATGGGTTGGGCGAGACACAGCATTTTTATGGATTCAAAGTATCTTCTCAGATTAATTCTTTAGGGAAGAATTGTATTTTCAAAGTGGAAAAATCTGGCAAACACCTGGCTAAGCAAGTAACCAAAGTAAATATTATTAATAGTGAACCTACTGACAGCCTTGA